TATATCCAATTACAGTTGACATACAATATTATATTAGTTTCAGGTATATAATTTAGTGATTAGACATTTATATAACTTATGAAGTTATCACCCCAATAAGTCTAGTACCCATCTGACACCACTGATGTAGTTACTACAATATTATTGTCTATATTCTCTATGCTGTTCTTTACAAGCAGGATACTACTTTTCTATGCATGGCTCTCAAGATTAGTTCTGAGCCAATTTTCGACTTACCCATTGCTCCTCTTCATTTCATTGTCTAATGTGTTTTTTTGGACTTCCCTCTACCAGCTTCAAACTCAGAAGGGATCTCTTCTATTAATAGCACCTTGTGCTTCCCATAAAAATCACACTCCTCTTCCATGATGAAGCTCTAGCCACAGAGGACTTTCTAACGCTTCTCAAAGAAAGCTCATTCTCACTGTTGGGACTTCTTACTTTCTGCATTCTCTGCCTGAAGTGCTCTACCATGCACCCCCCACCCTCATAATTTCACAGATAGCTTCCTCATAGCTTTCCAAATTTAGCTGAAATATTATTCTTTAGAAAGGCCTTTCTTGACTCCGTTAGACTGTGCTACACATATAGATTCAAAAAAATTTGTTGAATAAATGATTAGACAAATCTGATATTACACATGTCATATTTGAAGAAAAGAAAAGATATCGGAAGTACTAGAAATGTATAAATGATGAGAAGGCCAGAAGTAAATATTGACTGTCCACGTTTGTTTAGCATTTTACAGTTAACAAAGCAACTTGACATATATCATTTGAATTTTTGAATTCTGTTATGGAAAATTATTACAATCTCCATTTCACAAGAATGGAGGCTTAAAGAAGTTAAATAATATTTCAAGATCATGAAGCTAGTAAATAGGAGAAGTTGGAAGTTAAACTATATTCTTATGTCCAAATTTAATGTTTTGTCTTCTATAATTTGTTGGAGTCTCTGATTTAAATTTGATATTTGTCAGAATAGAGGTTGTAGGTGAAATATCAGCAATATTAAGTGAATGACAGTTATCGGAAGTTGAACACATTTGTGGACATACAAATACCTTTCCTGCTGCAGAAAAAAAAAATATGTGAGTTCTCTGTACTGGCTCTGGCTTACCCTATTTCTAGTTGTATCACTAACTGCTAATTCTATGCTTTAGTTTTCTACAAATGGGGATAATTCCACAGGGTGGTCGTGGGAATTAAAGTGGTTTATATATACGAAAAGCTTTAGAACATTGCCCATTGTGAAGTAATGTTTAATACATGAAAACTACTTTATGATTATGATTGTTGTTATTATTGGTATTATTTTACATGTTTACTAAAGACCTCTCTTCTAAAGATAATATTAAAAGCATAAAATATGTGACTTTTATTTGTAATTAATTTTTTGGGATTTCCATTATTAATTGTGTGGAAGGAGGGATCTTTTTTATTTTTACTTTTTAGACCTTTGGTTGAATGTTTTTGACCCTTGACACTTTTATTCTGAGGTTCTAGCCAGCCCTATAAGGGAATTCCGAGAATGGATATATCTAACTTACCATGGATTTGATCTGCAGCTATAAGTTACAAAATAAGCCCTCACTGTGAAATACATCATAACTTAAGTAAAGCCATAATATTTCAATGATTGAAAGGACATTAAATATCACCTGATTTTTAACCCAGTTCCTTAGCCTTAGCATGGACAAACACATAGTCCTTCACGTCTTTTACAGTAAACACAGAGACCTAAAAAATTTCTTGTACTTGGAATTATCTGATACAATGTGGGTTTTGTAGCTCTTCATAACTTGTTTTAATGGAGGTATGTTTGCTCTTTTCTCTTCACATTGCTGCAAACTAGATCTTGCTCATGGATCATACTAATATGAAATTTATATTTTGCATATAAAGGTCCCCTTCAGGAGATTTGAGTCTTCTGGTAGATATCAGTGCTGTACTTAGTAGAGAGCTATCTTGGTCCATTTCCATGACTCAACTCCATTTGCGAGAGAATTGCTAGAATTCCTGTTACGAAGGGCAGAGCTATTACTATGTTCTCTTCAGTGACTTTGCACTCAGAAATGTATGCCTCACTCTCTGACCTTTCCTGAAATCTTTAATAAGATTGTATAAATAAGAAATCACACTTCCCATAAAAATTTCATCAACCCTTACTCTGATATAGTGGTTCTCCACTCTACCAGATCCAGTACTTTCTTTTTATCACAAATTTTTTTTACTCCTCCTTTACTATTCTGAAAGGAAATTCTAGAAATTATATAACCAAGGCTTCCCTTAGAGTATGCCAAGTCCTAAAAAAATAATTTTTATGGGTTCCCTTTCTATGTAAACCACTGTACCCACTTAGAATCAGTTTATAAATGCCATTCTGGGGGCCCAATATCATTTGATCCAGTGGGAGCAATCTACCCAGCTGGCAGCCCACCTGGAACTAAGGCTTTGCAATGGAGCCTGAGACATCCTATAGATTCAATTATGATGAATTTGGGGGCATCTAGACCCCATGAACA